ATTTATTTGAGAAGATGCTGGGAGACATTGTCTCCAGAAATAGATACATATGATGTGTTTTTTTTTCCGGGGAATGTGTTTCATGATGCATCAATTAATGTCCAGTACCTCTGACTAGAGCTATAAGTCATGTGTGTGCCTAGTGCAATCCGCACCCTTAGAGTCTGATGCAGTGGTTCTATTTTGTGGCAGCCTGGGGCTGCCAACTTAACAACGACAGCGACTACAACTAATTAACACTTTACCCAGACAGAGTTGGATTATGAACAGAAGTTTCAAGCTGTAATGAATGCAGAATAATTCCCTGGTGGTAATCAGAACAGATGCCTGAAGTGATAGTAAATTAACCCTCCCCCCTGCCAAAAACAGAGAGATTGAGAGCAAGACAGTGCGTAACTGTACAGCACATCTTATTTATCTGCCTTTATACCCCAGTTATATTTATTTGTTTGCAGGTCGCTCTCTCTCTCTCTCTCTCTCTCTCTGTGTGTGTGTTTGTGCAATTCAAAGTCAATATTAAAATGTGTTTATATAACACAGGTACTTCTCTTCTGAATCTATTCCATGGAGAATTTTGTTCAAAGACAAAGAAAAGTATCAGTGGCATGATGCTTCTGAAAATATAGGCTTTGGTATAACTGGCATCAGTGACAGATGGAATGCTCAGCAGTAAATAAAAAAAGTCAAGCAAACATCAAGTCTCATAAGAAAATGTAATAACAGAAGGGCTACAGAAATGACAATGAAGGCATTCTGAGAAATAAGAAGATATCAAATTTCTTTATACATCATCTCAGAAAAAGAGATGACAATTGTGCAAGATCGTTAGAGTCATGTCTTCACAGGTAACTCTAGCAGATGGAAGGTTGCGTAATTCAGTTGTAAAGCAAGGGAGCCATAAATAGATTGACCAGTAGGAAAGTAACATTGTCAGGCCCTCTATGTATGGTAATCTGTCCAGATTTTCCAGTTTTAAAATAAACTGGTACATTTCAGACACTATTTGATGGACGAATAGAATGTATTTTAAAAACAATTTCTGCATATGACAGTGCTAATTATTATTATAAGGTAAATGTTGAATCAAATAAGCCCACTTGTGTTTAAAAGGCAGTGAACAAAATCTAATTGTGTTTCTATTAATGTAGGTCTATTGGTGTAAATTTCAGCTGTGCATTGCCACAAGAAGTCATTGTACGCATCTGCTGTTGTGTGTTGAATCACACAACGGATGTAAAACAGCAAGTATTTGCAACTGAGATTTATACTGATGCACTTCTGCCGCTGGACATAAATAACAGGATTCTGGCCACTGATTCAAACGTGACACTGAATTCAAAGCCTTATACTATGAGACAATTCAGGTTTGCATTCCAAATAAGTAAGTGTGGAGAAGATGGCAGTGATTCAAGAGGAGGAGAAGAGTGGCAGAAAATGTGCAAGAAGGCCAGACTAGACTCTCCTGCTGGTTTGTTTTGCTAACATTCCAGAGTGCCTGAACAGGGCTAGACAAACAGCCTGATCAGATACATGGTAGCTCCTGGATGTTCCTATGGATGTATAGAATCACATTTTTCTATAATGTACAATGTGAAAGAAGTTGGAGAATGAAATCCAGCCACACGGAACGGTTATTCATTCCTCAGTTCTCCCAATGTCTGTGGAAGCCTTTTTGTCTTTCTGCAGCCCTGCTATTTCCTTCTGAACATGCAGGGATCTTCTTTCTCATCCCCGTGCTGCACATATTTCCGAACCAAAGACAATTGCAAAGGTTGAAAGGAAGTCAAAGACGTACATTGTACCACAAACCGTTCTGTGGCCAAGATGGTTTTGTACCACTAACCATGGGTAGCGAAGAGTAAGATATTGCATATGGTACTGTGACTCAGATAACGGGAAGCTTTGTAGAAATAGCTTTGCCTTAGGCTGGCATCATGATAGGCAGTGTGTAAATGGTTACAGGCCCGTTGCAAATGACTATAAAGGAAAAAAAAGTGTTTTTAAACATTCAGATGTAACATTCAACTCTTTCAACATGGAATTGCAACTGGGAGTGTAACTGCCTTTATTTTTTCAGGGCTAAGTCTGCATAAATGAGATTGTACAGAAAATTCACGTAGCAGAACATATTTCACTGTCGTGTGTAGCACTCCTTATTTGCAAACATTATTCTTGGGGATTACAACTCCCAGAATCCCCAGGGCAGCATGGTCAGTGGTTGTGTTAATTAGGGTATTTTGGGAGTTGTCGTTCAAAAATGTAACTTTTCCCAGCTTTGACATGGCACAATTTATTGACAAACGGGAATATCATATTGGACCAGATAAAGCATGTTAAGAAAATCCGAAATGGAAATTCTGCAGGAGTACAGCATGTACAGCAATTTAAGAATAATTGCAATCTGAGAATATTTTTAAAAGTACTGAACAATGGTAATGCATATATTTGGATTTTTCAAGTGACCATCTCTGGTTTGAGGTGGCTGTTCTTTGATGAACTATTGATGAGTGGCCTCCATTAAAATTCAGCGCAAAATGTGCCAGGGTGGAACCAGACATTATTGCAGTAAACACATTTCCAAAACTGCAATGTTTGAGAACATGAAACAGGGAGCAGAGAATTTGCATGGGGGAGACATGCTTTAACCATCCATGCTTCTCTAGCCACAAATCGTTCCCTCTGAAGCTATTTCCCTTCCAAAGATAGTCTAAGACTGTTTGCTGTCTGAGGCTGGATCACAGATGGAACCTCTCCCCCAGTCATCAAACTGCGTGATACTCAGAGGCAGACAAATTATTTTTGGTACACAGAAATGACACAGACATCACTCCCTGTCACTCAAGGGAAAGATACAACAGTGGCAAAATAAATAACACTTTGCTGCTGTTTCATGTCATCCCAAGTACTATGCCTAATGGGAGGGCCGGTTCTGTTTCCTTCTCTCGAGCTAGTAACCTAGCTTGAGAAGGTGATTAAAACGAGCTGTGGCACAGAAAGAGTATCATGAGTGTTCTGCAAGGGAGAATTGATGGGCGTAGATGGGCCAAGCACGGCATGGCTTCTCACCACTTGTTTTTCTGTTCAGGTTTCAAGTGTTTCCCTTTTAAAAAACACAGTAGCCCCATTCAGACATTAATTAGCCTGGTGAATAGAAGTAATACCTAACACTCATCAAAATCACTTTTGACAGGTGCACTGCCCCTGCAAGGCGGGACAAAGGGTCAAGAATTGACCCAGGGCCCTCCTGCTGGGTGGACGGGGGTTTAGGGTGATGCAGGGGGTTGGTGAGGCCACTGTGGGCCTATAGGAGGGGTTCATAGACATGGGGGTCCCCCATGACCAGAGCACGACTGCAGGATTGGCCCCAAAGTGATGTGTTGCCCCCGTGGCCCTGTAGGCCAATGGGTAGAGGTTGGAGGGGTTTGGCTAGAAAAGGGGCGGCCATAGGGCATGCCTTGGAATTCCCTTAGGCCGCCTGGGCCTGAAATTCCACAACGGTTGCTGAAACGCCACAGCGGTAATTTTGGGGCTTGCCGCTCTTTGCAGAGACTGGTGCGGCTTGGAGAAGATGGAGGAGAAAGAAAACCTGATCCCCAGGACAGGCTGGGGATGACAGGCTCCGGTGAAAGCCAAAAGGTTCTTGCACCCCCAAGGTTACTATCAGGGGCTTGTGGGTTTGTTTTCCAAGTCCCTGTGCCCCTTAGGACCCCCTGCAAGTCTCAGGAGGATGCTGCCTGAAGACCCAGAAAATCTAAAAAGAACATGCAGGTCTGCAGAAGACATATTTGTATTTACCAAAAAGCCAAAGCAGAAAAGCACAAGAAAGCCGGCCTGCACCCTGATGTGGGGTGATGAGGAGGATCTTGAGCTTGAGAATATTCCACCAACTTTATTTGTGACAGCTCTAGCTCAACATTTGCATCAAGTGAATGCACTTAGAAACCTCCATAAAATGAGGAGTTATCATTAAGGAGACTGATTTAAAAGCATATCGCCCACGCTGGCCCTACAATTAGGTACACTGAGGCAGTGGCCTCAGGCACCAGGTTCTGTGGGGCAGCAGGGGCAACCTCTTGGCTGTTAGTTCTGAGTTCTTCAGCTCTGTGTGTGTGTGTGTGAGAGCTGAATATGTCTTACAAACTCTCCTGGGCCTCCTTAATTAGCCTCTGGTGTGATGGTGACATGATTTCATCACTTATCAAATTGAGAGTCAACTGCCAGCCTTCTGTACATAGAATGGGAAGTGGGTGCCATCTTGTCTGGCCCTACCCATGGAAACACACTTCATATCTTGTCTGCCAAATGCTTGGAGGCCATGGTGGAATGAGGCAGCTTTTGGCCTCTAAATATTCAACTGGACCCCTCAAAAAAGCTAATATGGCTTAGAAAACCATGTTAACAATATACCATCCATTTCTATGCTCATTGACTGTGTATAGATTTAAACATGAAGTTGTGGAATAAGCTTGCCATGGTCTCAGTCTAAGACACTTTGTACTCGGTGTTAGATATCTGAAATTCAAGAAAAGGTCTTATGGATACTTGAATTAGCCACTGAATCAATTAGCCCTTTGGTTGAGATATCTTCCTGAGGGGCAGAAATATGTTTGCTGCAGTTCAGTGGAACAACTATATTACTATTAAAAACAAAACAAAGCAAACAAACTCCAAAACCCCTATAGTCAAAGTTTTCTCTTGATCCTTGTTGTTAAGAAGTCCTCAAACAAAAACGAAAGTGCCTACTTCACTTTTTCTTCTTCATGACTCTGGAGAACACTGTAAACATTGTTTGAATCACAAGGTATTTGAAACATTACTAATGCACTTGCCCCATATAGCTTTCTGTTTGTAACTTTGGGAGAAGAAGGCAAGAAAATGACATCACTAAACGGTGGCATCAAAAACAGCCTGTCGGGCTGGGCAGAAAGAATTGGCTGTGGCATATGCTTTCCTGAGTGAAGCACTGGTTGAAACAAACAAGGGAGAGTGTAGATTGTGCCATGAATACAATCAGAATGACAGACTTGACTCCCAAGAGGAAAAGGCAGAAAGGGATGCAGCCTTCAGCTCCCCAGAGCAGCTACAAAATACAGTTCAGTGATATAGTAATTTTTATTGTGGAGAGGAAAATGGGAGCCAAACGGAGAGCATTCTTGATGGATCTCGCAAGAAGAAAAGGTTTCCGAGTAGACAATGAGCTAAGGTATGAAAAAAGCAAATAATAATTCGTTCGAGTATTTGCATGTTGAGTTGAAGTTTAGAAAGTTCGTTGTTAACTTTGAAAACCCACCCATGTCCTTTCAGAAGTATGTATTTTGCAGAACAGAGCCCTCCCAGATCTTGCTGGACTGAAACTCCTATGATATCTCAGGCTATTGCAGTCCAGCAAGATCTGGAGGATGACAGTTGCCAGCCTTGCCCTTAGGAAAGCCATAGCTTTCCAAAGTTACTATTTTGGAAAGCTGGACTCTGTTGATGAATAGTGTCCATTGCTCCTCTAGTAATTACCAGTATTAATGCGGTGGAGCTGTAGACAAGTGCTTGGGTGCTGAGGGAAAGCAGCACCATCTCTCCCCGCCCCCGTTCTACTTTGAAGCATGGACACAAGCATGCCCATGTTAAAAAAAAAAGAGGAGAATGTGTGTCACCCCCCAAAGAAAGAGAAAATTTGTATTTTTAAAAAAAGTGGAGTGGGGGAAGCAAACAGGACAGAAGGTGTTGCCATTTATTTTCCCAATACTCCCCAACAATTTTACCTCTGCCGTCTAAATTTTAAGGACCTGGACAAAGCTTAACTCTCCCTACACTAGTTACTGCCCTGATTCCCAGAATCTCTCAGCCAGCTTGGCCGGTAACCCTGGTCTTAGAATAAGAGGAGATCTTAGCAACATTTATTTGTGTGAAACTTCAAAAAAGGATTCTGGTTTAACAACATAGATAGCAGTGCATCTATGTATCTTGAGTAATAATGAGTTTTCAGTACTGTGGACTCAGTTAAATGGTGATGCATTCTGTGTATATATTTAGGCCACTATTGTTGGTTGGAAGAAACTGGAGCACCTCATGTTATCGTTTTCTTTGCCCTCTTTGGGAAACCTTTCTTCTTGTTTTCTGCATAATGACATTCCTATGAATTTTGCACTATCCCTTCTTCCCATGCCCCAGTTTAAAGCTCTGCAGCAAGTCTCCAAAGAAAAGCTGGAACTCCTATGTGAGCAAGCTGCCCTAATTACTTCAGGGGAGGAGGTAGACCCCTAAGTGCAGAAGGAAGCACAAACTCAGGAATATTGCTGTGTTTTAGAAGATAGCTTCTAAGCTGGGTGGGGATTCTGTGAGCTGTAGTCCACCAATGGAACATTTCTAAGCTCACGGGATGGGTATATGGAGTAATGCATGAAGGAACATGGTATGACATGGCAGTTGTATACATTTTTTTTAAAAAATGACAACAATTGTATTTAAAATAAGCATTTAATTTGGGATAAAACACTACCTTCCCACACAAGCTTAAGTCCTAATTTGGCCTGAGCTGTCCTGCGATTTAGCGTTGGTGCAGAAGTGCCCACCCTTGTTGCTGCCATCCATTTAGGGAGAGCAGCACTGACTGCAGTAAATGACTAGTGTTGCTGTCCATGGAGCCAGCTGGGCACACACAATGCTCTGAGGGGGGTGCTTCCTCCAACCTAGGCGTTGTGGGCAGCATCCCCTGGGAGATTGCCTGTGTGCCAAGGGACAGACAATCAGTTTAAGTGGTCACACAGAAAACATGAAAAAGCCTCTTTTTTTGCTATTTGTTTGCAGTTTCATATACAGACCTGCTGGTGGTGTCATTGCAAGGAGCTTCCTTACAAACAGTAAAAAGGCTTCCTACTTTAATTTCCTCATATAGTTTGTTTGTTATCTTTTGTTTAAAAAAACCTCCCACCCATGGAAACAAGATCTGTTCTTAATCTGTAAAACAAAAATAAAATTTGGGAGTGCTGTCCATGGAGAACTGTAAAAGAAAAGAAAAAAAGAGAAGTGTCTAAGTGTCTTGGGAAAGAGACTTTTCTCCCTTTGAGTGTGTGTCTGGTGCTTCCTTTGTGTGTGTGTGTGTGTGTGTGGCTCAGGAGGTGAGAGGGAAAATGCTTTGGCAAAGCACCACTTTATGTGTCTGTGTGTGCACTTGACTCATCCTCCCTTTCTGCATCAGTTCAAGTAATCATATGCCTGAATTGAACCAAAATAATTTGTATTTTTAAAAAGTAGAAGGCTCTCTGCAGGAGGGCAAAAACTGCATGGAGGGGGAGACTCCAGGCTGATTTGCATTTCCCATTGAACCCCTGCTACCTCATATGTTTGCCAGGTGACGGGCTTGATCAAGCAGGGGCTTGTTAAAGGTCATTTCCTGCTCCTAGAAGCCTCCAGGAGCAACCTTTTCATTATAAAATAAGGCATAGTCCCCAAACTTCCCACCCCATGCAGTCCAAAACCATAAGAACAAGAAGAACCTTGCTCATATTTACTGGGGGTAAGGATGAAATATTGCCCTCTGCTCCTCCAAAGTTGCTGATCCTTTCTTTTCTTTTTCTTTTTTGTATTGGGCTCATGCACCATTGATCAATCTTTTATTTTCTTCTGAAAATACAATTTTTGAAGCATAGACCAAATCAGGAGATTATTAACCATTTATAAAACACATCAACTGGTGTTGTTGGTTGTTGTAGGTTTTTGGGGCTCTTTGGCCATGTTCTGAAGGTTGTTCTTCCTAATGTTTTGCCAGTCTCTGTGGCTGACATCTTCAGAGGACAGGAGTCAGAACTCTGTCTGTGCTCTGGTGCAGTTTTGTGAGATAGCTGACTCCCTGTTCAGTCTAACTGGGAAGGGAAGCCACTGAAATCCACAAACACCAGCAGAGCTTCAGCAAAAAAGAAAAGTCTAAAACTCAACAAAGCCTGGCTCCCAGCACTGAACAATACAGCCTACAAAAGGTCAACAAACTCTACCCAACCACAAGGACTGCTGATCACTGCACACAAAAGACCAGCTAACGACACCCATCAGTCACAGTGACAGATCATCCTCCCCCTTATCACAACAATACACCCACAACAAAAAACACATTGATCACCATAATCACCCAATATCCTGAAAAGGACAAAAGCTGATCCCACAGTTATAAATACTCAAGTATCCCACAAAACTGCACCAGAGTACAGACAGAGTCTTACTCCTGTCCTCTGAAGATGTTGGCTACAGAGACTTCCTACATTAGGAAGAACAACCTTCAGAGCCCAAAAAACCTACAACAACCATTGGATCCCGGCCATGAAAGCCTTCGAGAATAAACTGGTATTGTGCTTAGTTTGGCCGCACAGCCTATGGGGTGCATACTGGATGGGATGTAGCATACTCTTTTTATATATGTGAACCCTGCAGGGTGTTGATTTATTCCTCACCAAAAGCCATTTGATTTAAACTCCATGGCCACATACTTGAAAAGTAAAGTAATGGATGTTAGAGCAAAATAAATCACTGTGCATAATATATTGTTCCTGCAAATAAACCTTCTTAATTTGGAGAGTCTCATTAAGAATGTGTTGAAGGAACACTCAGACATCTTAATATAGCAGTGCTGCTAAGTGTTACAGATGCAGTTAAACTGTTACTTTGGGATCAGCCTTAGATGAGGGAGCTTTCACAGTATGCCTTCTTTTATTATATTAGCAAAATGTTTAGAAAAGTTATTTTTTAAAGTATACTTCCTAGGATGCCAGTCAGCACAGCTCTTTGTGGCTTGTGGGAAGGGACGTTAACCCATGTCCATTTTCAGGGAAGTTCACCCTCCATTTCTGAGACTGTTTTTAGAAGGGTATATTCCATTTTAAGGGCTCTGCAGCTCACATCTGATTTTAAAAAATAAAAAATGAGCAGGAAGGAAACCAGGGAAACACTTCATTCATTCTCAATTTGGGGATTTATTTATTTATTTATTTATTTATTTATTTATTTATTTATTTATTTATTTATTTATTTATTTATTTATTTGCCGCCCACACTGCCCAGTAGCCTATGCAGTTTTATGTGAATTAATGCCCTTTTTTGTCCTCCCTTTTTGTTGACATGTTGCGAGGGGCCACCTTGAGGAGGAGGTTCTAGAAATGGTGGCCAAAAAATAAAACAAAACAAAAGTGATTAACTGCTGTAATCTATGAATTCGGTGTAAGGATTTGCTGCTGTTCTTGCTGACTGCTTATACTGACTTAACATGTGGCAACTCATTCCTGAAGTTTATGCTCATTAACAAATAGGTTTCTGGCAGCTAAAATCTGTTACTAATTTTGACACAGAATCTTGGACCCATAAAAGTTGATGCTTTGGGACAGGTTCTGTCTTGTGAATAGATGGTTTTGAGGGACCCTTCCTGTTTCTTATGGAGATGTCCTTGAGACATTAGATCATTTCTTCCCTGGTGGCAGTATATGTAGGAAAAGGCATGACCCAAAGCTTTGCTTGAATGACTTTCTTACCTCATTGGATCTGGTCTGGTAATGAGATCAATTAGATTGGTGGGCACAAGAGTCAGTGTGGATCTTGTGGTGAAATTTGAAAATTGATTTTTTTGAAATGGATTTCTTTTTGTTTTTGAGGATTTATTGTGTTGCTGTCAAGCATTTGTCTTCCATTGTTGTGGGTAATCTTAATTGGGTAATCCTGGATTATGAGTTTGACTGTTCTTTTACATGGTTGTTTTCACATGGAATGCTTTTCACTAAATTTACTCTCATAGAAACACTTGTTTATAGAAGTCCAGCCAACCTGGTATTTTCTTGATGTAGTGGACTACAAATCCCAATCTAACCCCAATTAGATTCTCCCTCAGTGTATATCCTGTTTGAAGGTATCTGGGATGAAAATGCCAAGGGATGCTTTGCTTTGTAATATGTTTGTCACAGTATTTCTAACAGGCAACCAACAGAATCAGTTGCTTGGGAGAATTAGTAAGCATGTATTTTCCAAAGTCATCAACAGTAACAGTAATGTATTACTAATGAGTTATGAGGTGAGGTGGTTCACCAGCTGCTACTGGTCTTAAAAAGTGGCAATGTGACAGGTTTCTTTTGAAAGTTATTTTCCAAGCTTTGGCACATGCAAAGTATTTTTTTCATGGTTACTCAAAAAAGGAGAGAACAATTTGAAGCAAGCACACATACTACAGCACAC